GGGAAGAACACGAAATGGCTGGGCATTGCAAGCTTCGCCCCCCCCTCTACTCAGAGTGGCAGTGGATCTCCAGGGTCTCAGTGGTTTTTTTACAGGGTGGTTTGAATTAATAATTTTGAGTGTCCTCTTCAGCACTTGTTCTGCTATTATTCCACTGGAGCTCGACATTAGGAGAGTGTGCGTGTGTGTGTTAAAACTAGTATTTCTCTGCAAAACTGGAGTCCCTGGAGTTTGCAGAGCTCTATATTTTAACCCTGGCTTGTCCCAAACCCCCCCCCCCACACACACACCCTTAAAATCAGCTAGTTCTGCTACGATGGAAGATTCAGCTTGACCTACATGCTTGGGCTGTCCTGGGGCCAGCTACTGCAGGATTTGGCAGCCATCAGCACACTGCTCTTGCCTGGCATGGGATAAGGTGCAGAGCATGGACTTGGGGGTAGAGGGAGAGACTGCGAGAATATTGCCTGTCAAGTCAAGCAAATAGTGCTGAATCTTGCCTTTTGTTCTTCTAATTATGCAATCACACCAAACTGAATTTATAGTCAGTTTTGATGTGACGTCTGTGCATGCAAATCTATTTGGAAGATCCCAATATTAATAAAGCGTTTAACAAACATTTCACAGTCAGAATTCAACAAGATCTGAACACACTGGAAAAGTGGGCAGATGTGAACAAGATGCAATTTAAATAAGTGCCGAGTTCTGCATCTGGGTAACAAAAAGGAGGAACACACATACTGAATGGGGGATACACTTCAGGGTAGCAGTGTTGTGAACAAGATCTTGGGGTACGGGTGGACCGTTAAATATGAGCAGCCAGTGTGATGTGGCAACAAAAAAGGCTAATGCAGACCACATCTTGCTCAGCTGTGAATTTTATAATAGGATTCGGGATGTTCTAATTAGCCTCCTCCTGCACAGTAAGCATAGTCTAACTGAAGAGAGACTTATATCTTTCCTTTTATCAGATCCACACCCTCACATTACTTTCTCAGTAGTGCGATTTCTTTCTATTGCTATGAGGGTAAGAGAATATAAGGTCAAAGCTCTGGTGGGTTGACTGTTTTACATTTACATATTTTTGATATGCATTTCAAAATGTGATCCATGCCAATAAAGGTTGACTGATTGACTGGCTAATGCAGTCTTGGGGTGTATCAACAGAGACATAACATCCAAATCACAAGATGTCATAGTCCTGCTGTACACTGCACCTGGAGTATTGTGTGCAGTTCTGGAGGCCTCTCTTCAAAAAGGATGTGGACAGAATTGAGTGGGTGCAGGGGAAAGTGACAAGGATGATTGGGGGCCTCGAGACCAAGCCCTGTGAGGAAAGGCTGAGGGACTTGGGAATGTTTAGTCTGGAGAAGAGGAAGTTGAGGGGGGACACAATTGCTCTCTAAGTATTTGAAGGGCTGTCACTTAGTTGTTCCTGTTGACAGCAGAGGATAGGACTCACTAATGGGTTTAAATAAGGGTGGGAAGGTGGCTAGATATTAGGAAAAACCTTTTTACAGTAAGAATTGTGCAACAGTGGAATCGGCTGCCTAGGGAAGTGGTAAGCTCCCCCTCACTGGCAGTCTTTAAGCAGCAGCTGGACAAACACTTGTCAGGGATGCTCTAGGCTGAACCCTCATTAAGTAGGGGGTTCAACTAGAAGGTCTGTATGGCCCCTTCCAACTCTGTGATTCTATTATTCTAGTTATGTTTACAATATTCAGTGGGCTGAATCAACTGTGAATGGGATGAGCTTATGCGAAATATCTCTCCTGTCTCTCACTCTTCCTCCTTCATCTCCTGCAAAGCTGCAGCTGAGGACTAAGTGAACTCTTGGGATCATAATGGGATGTGGTATGTGCATGGTGGGAGAAAGTCAGCAGAAATTAGCCCCCACCCACTACAAAACAGCAAGAACTTGCATTGGTGGGGTTTCTTCTGATTCCACCTTCTCACAAATCCCAATTCCTGAGGATTGCTAGACCTCAAGAGCAGCCTCAGGGAGGTGAGGAAGGAGTGTGTAGGAAGAGATTTTCTCCATGAATTAATTCTGTTCATGATTCACTGGCTCCAACTATTTATTAGTAGAAAAACCCAGGGTTTTGTTGTTGTTTTTGAAAAAGAGGTGCTGGAACTCTCAAGAAGGAAATAAAGTTTACAATCTGTATACTGAAAACTCATGAACTTTTAAACATTTTTAAAAGAATTTTGTCAAAGATGTTCCAGAACTCTGTTCCAGCATGTTCCCCCAAGAAAAAAAACCCCTGGAAACCCACAGAAGACTGCTGCTGTGGAGTTTGCACAACAGGTAAATAGACTAATATCCAAGAGTATAAAATCCTTGCCAATATTCTTCATATTTTTTTAGGAGTCTGGAAAGAATCAAAAATAAATTGCTTAATCCTACCATTAACCAATGGTTACCCAACTGTACTAAAATAGTGCTGTTATGCATGTGCATAATATCTCTTACCTTAAGTGACTGTCGTTTCGTCACATAGTTTTCTGAATGGAGTAACTTCTCATATTCACTAAAGAACTAAATGGAGAAAGAAACAAAAATCAGAGCTTCAACTGTCACAAGAACTCTGATCCCAAGTGACTACACTGAACTGGAAACACAAGAATAAAAATACAGAAACTGAACAAGTTAGAAAAACAGGTTGCTTACCTGTAACTGATGATCTTCGAGTGGTCATCTGTGCATTCACACCCATAGGATCTAGTGCGCACGCGCTGGATCGATCAGCAAGCTTTTTTAACAGATGTCCATGCCCTCCCCTCTGGGCATGCGCGGTGGGGTTCCTGCGCATGCCCGAGGTCTGGGCGTGAAAATCTGTTAAAAAAGCTTGCTGATCGATCCAGCGCGTGCGCACTAGATCCTATGGGTGTGAATGCACAGATGAGCACTCGAAGATCATCAGTTACAGGTAAGCAACCTGTTTTTCTAACTTGTTCAGTTTCTGTATTTTTATTCTTGTGTTTCCAGTTCAGTGTAGTCACTTGGGATCAGAGTTCTTGTGACAGTTGAAGCTCTGATTTTTGTTTCTTTCTCCATTTAGTTCTTTAGTGAATATGAGAAGTTACTCCATTCAGAAAACTATGTGACGAAACGACAGTCACTTAAGGTAAGAGATATTATGCACATGCATAACAGCACTATTTTAGTACAGTTGGGTAACCATTGGTTAATGGTAGGATTAAGCAATTTATTTTTGATTCTTTCCAGACTCCTAAAAAAATATGAAGAATATTGGCAAGGATTTTATACTCTTGGATATTAGTCTATTTACCTGTTGTGCAAACTCCACAGCAGCAGTCTTCTGTGGGTTTCCAGGGGTTTTTTTTCTTGGGGGAACATGCTGGAACAGAGTTCTGGAACATCTTTGACAAAATTCTTTTAAAAATGTTTAAAAGTTCATGAGGTTTCAGTATACAGATTGTAAACTTTATTTCCTTCTTGAGAGTTCCAGCACCTCTTTTTCAAAAACAACAACAAAACCCTGGGTTTTTCTACTAATAAATAGTTGGAGCCAGTGAATCATGAACAGAATTAATTCATGGAGAAAATCTCTTCCTACACACTCCTTCCTCACCTCCCTGAGGCTGCTCTTGAGGTCTAGCAATCCTCAGGAATTGGGATTTGTGAGAAGGTGGAATCAGAAGAAACCCCACCAATGCAAGTTCTTGCTGTTTTGTAGTGGGTGGGGGCTAATTTCTGCTGACTTTCTCCCACCATGCACATACCACATCCCATTATGATCCCAAGAGTTCACTTAGTCCTCAGCTGCAGCTTTGCAGGAGATGAAGGAGGAAGAGTGAGAGACAGGAGAGATATTTCGCATAAGCTCATCCCATTCACAGTTGATTCAGCCCACTGAATATTGTAAACATAACTAGAATAATAGAATCACAGAGTTGGAAGGGGCCATACAGACCTTCTAGTTGAACCCCCTACTTAATGAGGGTTCAGCCTAGAGCATCCCTGACAAGTGTTTGTCCAGCTGCTGCTTAAAGACTGCCAGTGAGGGGGAGCTTACCACTTCCCTAGGCAGCCGATTCCACTGTTGCACAATTCTTACTGTAAAAAGGTTTTTCCTAATATCTAGCCACCTTCCCACCCTTATTTAAACCCATTAGTGAGTCCTATCCTCTGCTGTCAACAGGAACAACTAAGTGACAGCCCTTCAAATACTTAGAGAGCAATTGTGTCCCCCCTCAACTTCCTCTTCTCCAGACTAAACATTCCCAAGTCCCTCAGCCTTTCCTCACAGGGCTTGGTCTCGAGGCCCCCAATCATCCTTGTCACTTTCCCCTGCACCCACTCAATTCTGTCCACATCCTTTTTGAAGAGAGGCCTCCAGAACTGCACACAATACTCCAGGTGCAGTGTACAGCAGGACTATGACATCTTGTGATTTGGATGTTATGTCTCTGTTGATACACCCCAAGACTGCATTAGCCAGTCAATCAGTCAACCTTTATTGGCATGGATCACATTTTGAAATGCATATCAAAAATATGTAAATGTAAAACAGTCAACCCACCAGAGCTTTGACCTTATATTCTCTTACCCTCATAGCAATAGAAAGAAATCGCACTACTGAGAAAGTAATGTGAGGGTGTGGATCTGATAAAAGGAAAGATATAAGTCTCTCTTCAGTTAGACTATGCTTACTGTGCAGGAGGAGGCTAATTAGAACATCCCGAATCCTATTATAAAATTCACAGCTGAGCAAGATGTGGTCTGCATTAGCCTTTTTTGTTGCCACATCACACTGGCTGCTCATATTTAACGGTCCACCCGTACCCCAAGATCTTGTTCACAACACTGCTACCCTGAAGTGTATCCCCCATTCAGTATGTGTGTTCCTCCTTTTTGTTACCCAGATGCAGAACTCGGCACTTATTTAAATTGCATCTTGTTCACATCTGCCCACTTTTCCAGTGTGTTCAGATCTTGTTGAATTCTGACTGTGAAATGTTTGTTAAACGCTTTATTAATATTGGGATCTTCCAAATAGATTTGCATGCACAGACGTCACATCAAAACTGACTATAAATTCAGTTTGGTGTGATTGCATAATTAGAAGAACAAAAGGCAAGATTCAGCACTATTTGCTTGACTTGACAGGCAATATTCTCGCAGTCTCTCCCTCTACCCCCAAGTCCATGCTCTGCACCTTATCCCATGCCAGGCAAGAGCAGTGTGCTGATGGCTGCCAAATCCTGCAGTAGCTGGCCCCAGGACAGCCCAAGCATGTAGGTCAAGCTGAATCTTCCATCGTAGCAGAACTAGCTGATTTTAAGGGTGTGTGTGTGGGGGGGGGGGTGTATAGATAATGCAGCTATGCTGGCTATCTTGGAAGGGTTGGACCATGCTTAGATTCTTCCTGACCATTGTACAAATAAAGGTTTAGATAGAATAGGGTTTGAATGGCTACTCAGAGAGGCAACAACTTCAAAAGTTATCAGAAACTTTCAGATATCATTATGAATTAAGAACCTTTTGATATCCTACCCTTACCTTTCAAGTGGTACTAATTATGTATTACTTGTGAAAAACATATCCAGTTCACTTTTTATCATTCCGCAGCTGCTTGGTGAATTGCTATTGGATAGGCACAACTTCACGATTATGACAAAGTACATCAGTAAACCTGAAAATCTCAAACTAATGATGAACCTCCTACGAGACAAGAGTCGTAACATTCAGTTTGAAGCCTTTCATGTCTTTAAGGTAAAAATAGCTTTTTAAAAAATGGACAGATGGTAAAGGATCTTATATTTACAGTAAATTTTACATGGAATGGTGCAATAAAACTGAATGAGAAGTTTTGGTATCTGGGAAGTATTGCCAATTTTATTGTACAAAGCAGTTTCCATTTTAAAATCAAAATAAGTTTTTAATCACTGGCCCAATCTTTAATGGGCCTGCATTTTCTTTTTTGCCTCAAATCATTAAAACAAGCAAGTTAAAGAAACCCTTTTCTTTCTCCCTTCTTAAAATAATTTGATCCACTAAATTTTACTGAAAGGGGACCACAATCAGATATCTAATAGTCAAAGTATGCCCCTCCATAGGATCAAAAAAACCTGTAAGAGGGGCTGCAGAAGGGAGGACCCAAACTGTACAAGCAAAATGATTTCTGCATGCACAGATATCATGGGATCCTACAAAAACACATCGTGGGATTTCTGGAGCCAATTAGGGTTGCTTCATGAACCCAAAACACAAACTATAAGGAGGAGCTGAAGATAAGGGGTGGTGGAGGGAGACAGAGACAGAGGTAAGAGAAAGGGGAAATGTTGTATGGCAGTGGGAGAGAGGGGAGCAGAGGCAGGGAGATGGACAAACATCATTAGGGAGATGGGGAGGGGGATTTTCACTCCCCCAGGAGTCCTTGCTGGTCCTGAACTTGTTCAACATCATATAATGGTCCTAATTTTTTGCATAGATTGAGTGCAGTAAACCGTTTTTTGGAAGCACAAACAAGCTTGCTTTTTGCTGCACTGATTGTGAACATGGGTATTCTGATGAACCTGGTTTTTTGTTGTTTGCACACACTTGGGGTCGTATGTTCATTTCTGAAATTCAAAAACTCCATTTCCGCTATACACCTTAGTAATTTTCAACCCACTTATTATAATAGTTTAGACAAATAATTATGCATATATTCCTATGTGCTTTTATCCTCCTTGTATCTGGGCTCCTTGAAATTCTACATTAAGTGAAAAAATCTATATTACATTGTCACGCATGTTCTGTGTTTATATTAACTGAGCCTTTTCTTTTTTCATTGCAGGTGTTTGTAGCCAATCCTAACAAGACACAGCCTATATTAGATATTCTCTTAAAGAACCAGACCAAACTTATTGAGTTCCTCAGCAAGTTTCAGAATGACAGGACCGAGGATGAACAATTTAATGATGAGAAGACCTATTTAGTTAAACAGATCAGGGATTTGAAAAGACCAGCGCAGCAAGAAGCTTAATATACAATAAACCCCTAAAATATTAAATACAAATTCAGCATTTGCTGTTAGATATTCCGCATCAGGCACTCTTATCAATTCATGAGGAACATTACTGCTAATCTGCTGTTCAGTGAACAGTGTTTTTTTTCCTTTCTTTTTTTTTTTTTTTTAGTCCAAGTTGACAAACCTAGCTGCTGCTTTCTTGCACAATGTGGACATTTTGGTATTTGTGTCTGAATTCAAGCACACCGCTTGTTTTTAGAAATCTTGGGAGGGAAAGATTATTGGTTCATGAAAGCAAACATAGAAGATAGTTTGGGATAGAAGAAGGTATTAGATTAGTCTTAAGTGACGGGGTGCATGCTTGCAAATCTGGTTCAATCCGTATGTTTGCACTTAACTTTGTATGAGATGCAAGCACAATGTGATCTGTGCATATTTGGCACCATAGTATAAGATTGTATGCCTTGATTTAAAAAACAAAACGTGCAGTGCTTTATTTGTAATCAAAGGGGAAATGTATCTAAGATGTGAGCTTACTGGGATGAAGAGTTGTCTTGCAGATAAAACTGATAGTGACACATAGCAACTTCTAAAGAGTGAAATCTCAGAGTTCATAAGGAAAATGTATATATGCCTTTCACTGCTTTATAGATTTTTTTGTTGTTTTTGACATTTGGTTTTTTCCCGATTGAGTTGTAGACTTGGAAATATGTTCTAAAGGGTCTTTTTTTGTTAATTTTACTTTGAAGGCATTTCAGACAGTAGAGTTTAGCAGTGACACTTTGCATTTCATTTCAACAATGCTTGCTGGTTTCTTTTGTATATAACTCCTTAGGCTGCTCATTTCTTTAAAAATGATTTAATTTGTACAGCAGAGGAATGTTAATGTATTAGTCTGTAACTTTTACCTGATACGAAGTTTTGCAAATGAAAGCTCATATGTAATGAATACTTTGGATCACATGGAAATGCTGATTTCACATTTCTTAAATACTGCAGCATTAAAAGGAAGAAACCCCATTTTTTCCTGTATTCACTGATCTAATGGGTGCCATCAGTTAGGGTAGGTTAAAACATAGTCCTGGAACCCACTAAACTGTGTTCTTGAATATTGGCCTTATTCACTTATCTATAGTGCTATGTTCAGCCAATTGCAAATTATGCAGATTATGCTAAATTGATACTAATTTGTTTTTCTTGTGGGTATCTACAGAAAATCTCTATTCCTTTTCATGTAGTTAAATACTCAGTATGCTAGTGGTGAGAGTAAATAACTTATAATTCCCCTTCAAACAACCATAACTTCATAACTGTCCTAGTGTCAATGTCTTGTTCCTTAATGCTGCAAACTATCAGTATTTATTTTTTTAAAAGACTGATTTTGCACCATGTTTTTGTTACTGTGATCATAAAAAACCTGCTAAATATATCTAAACTATGTTATCAAAATGTTATCTATTCATCTTAATATTAGTGCTAAGATCACAACCAGCCAACTTTATGGATTAGGAGTATGAAAGTTCAAATTCTGCATGATTGAATCTGACTGAGAGTGCTATAAAATTATTTATTGCTTTCTAGCCTCTTTCTAATTAAATTATTTCCCAGTTGATTAAACTCCTGGTTGACATTTTAGCTCATTTTAAAGCCTTCACGAAGGAAGTAGGAAAATAGCTCCAGAAAATAGGATTCCGGTGATTCTGAATGTCTCACCATGGTCAGACTTCCTTTAGAGGTCATAACCTGTCCTTTGCAAGGTGATTCATAATGTCCACTGAAAGAGGAAGAAAATTAATACACCTCTATTATATCATTTATATAGGCAGGCAAAACTGGCCATGAGATGGTATTATAGTTCAGTACTAACTGTCCTTTTTATATTTTGGTTATCGTAGTTTAAGAGGAAGAAAATATTACTTGGCAAGTTATTCTCCATTATGCATAAGGCTTCCACATTAGGGGGAAAATGTAGAAATGCTAAAAGTTATGTATGTGTATATATAAAGTTAAAAGATGATTGGATATTGGTTTTGCTTCTCTACTATTCGGCATGGGAAACAGTGACTAACTTTTTTAAAACATTAAACCTTGGAGTGTTGGCATTCAAAAGAGTTGTATTTAAGACCATTTGATGTGCTATTCATATTAAAATCTATTGTACTGGAAGTGGTTTCTTATCTGCGTGAAGGCTTAAAATAATAACTAAAAGTTATTTAATGTGAGGGGTTTTTTAAAGATGTAAACAATTGTAATTCTACTTCCATGAAAGCATTTCATTTCTTATTAGAAGATCTGGCTGGCCCCATAATTGAAATAAAATTTTGAAGAAACACGATTGTGTATTCTATACTATGTATTGAAAATCAGGTTCACCTTGAGTATTTCTCTCGTAAGAGGTATACATCTTGCATTTCTTGTGAACCATGAAACATTAGCCCTGCATTTTAAAAGCCTGGAGCTAAAAAGGTGAGAACTAATTCATACTTTGTGCCTCCTAAGAGGCAACCTTATCTGTAACGGTTTTTGCTTCTACTTTAGCTTGAATATGGATTTTGCTAATAGAAACTGTCAGGTTATGTTTGGAAGTGGAAAAGGTGAAAAGTATCTGACATGTAGACTTCCATCAGTTCTATACCAATTGGATTGTCATTGCTTCCTCCATTGAACTGTACTTTGATGAGAATCTTGAGAATCTTATCCCAGGACCCCTTCCCAAAACTTCCCCCCCAAAAGTTTCCAGGCCTCCATGGTGAAAATGAATGACTGTTAAATCAGTTTCAGTCTGTAGCATAAAACTGCCCATAGAGTATCTAGATGTTTTACTGTATCCAAACTGGCATTAGACTGCCAAATTTTCATATTTGCATATGCAGCTCCCTACTCAGCACAATCATCAGAGCTGTGGAATCCTTGGGCTAATCTTTTGCCACTTTATTGAATGTCCTTTGAGGTCAACTACAAATTTAGATAGATCCACTGAAGAAGTTGAACTCCATGCAAACTTGCAATTTACAATTAAATTTGTTAGCCATAAACCAAGTTACACCAATATTATAAGAGGGAACATGTCTCAGATTAGTGTATCTGATACCTGAAAAAAGAGCCAAGCTAGAGAGGAGCTTCTCTTAAAATCCAATTCTACCAAAAACATAATGCAAATGTCATTATATGCAGGATGATATCCTTGTTGTTCAGAGATTTCATTAAGAAAAAACAGCTGGTGGTGGGAGTTCATAAGACAGTGGAATCTGGAGAATGGGTGATGCCTAGTGACAAGGTTACTCATTTGGTCAAAAGGGGACCTGGAATCATGGCCAGATTACATGGAAAACATCCTAGTGCATCAGGCAAGTGGGTGGGCTAGAGGAGCCTTCTGTCCCTCCATGTGTACACACCACCATGTCTATTGTTACTTCTGAAATTTTAAAGAGGTGCTTAGTGTGGAAGCTTGGATCTAATTCTCTTAAGAAATTGTCACCTACACATAATTGTCATCTACAAACTGCCTGAGTTTAGTAGTCATAAGAACATAAGAGAAGCCAATATTGGATCAGGCCAATGGCCCATCTAGTCCAACACTCTGTCACACAATGGCCAAAAATACCAGGTGCCATCAGGAGGTCTATCAGTGGGGCCAGGACATTAGAAGCCCTCCCACTGTCATCCAACCCATATCAGCTGGGCTTGTGTGGTTTATGCCTGAGGCTGTTGGGCTAGCTATCCTTAAGAAAGGAGACCTCGCTGGCTGGCAGAAGCCATGCTTGATCAGAACAGAAAAATAAACTCTATAAAACTTCCTCATTTTATGTCAACATTAAAACTATCCCCTGTCTAGGTAGCTGAGGCAATTAAAAGGTATGTGAATTGTGTTAGCCTTCCCAGTCCCAACCAAGGAAGCAGAAGTCTTAAGATCCTGCTACGAACAGTTTTGAAAGTAAAGAGAAGGTTGACACATTTGTCGATTTGTACTGTGCAGGCTTGCTGCTTGGCATCTTGTATGATGGCTGCATTCAGATGTGTCTCTTAGTTGGCATTCAACTGCAATGTGCACAGATTTTGCTTGCTGTAGTCACATACTTCTCTGTGTGAAATGTCCTTGAAAAACTAAACCTAGGTACCTGTGACATACAAAGGAATGTGTGGGAATTAATCAGAGTTAATTTTCTATCCCCCCCCCCCCTCAAATCAGGATTCTAAACCACAGTTTAATCCAAGCTTAAAATTGTGCTATTATTTCTTTATAGTATGGCAGAATTACAGGAAAATACATAACCAAGTTGATACAATGGGTATACAGAATTGTGCAGAATGCACATTTTTAAGTGTCACTCTCCAAGGGAGAAGAGAAGGCAATTGTATTTATATATGCACTTTTATATAAACTGCCCTGAGCCTGCCTCATTGGGGAGGGCAGGGTATAAATTGAATTAATAAATAAATAAAAGGCAAGAAAGACTGAGGTATGCCTGCAAGCAAGCAAGTTTACTGTGTGCATCTTAATGTCGGCAATGATGGCTGAATACTGCTGAAAAGTTGAATTTGTTTGCTCCCAAGTGTACAATCCCAATCTCCATTTTTCTACTTTTATGACAAAAATATCTTGAGATTGAGACAATTTTATACAGTGTGGAGGTCAAAAGAACTGTGATCCCTAAATAATTCATTTGCTTCAAGGAATTTTCTCTATAGCTTTTTTAAAAAAAAATTGGTAGGAATTCATCTTCCATTATATGTAACCTTAGCATTAAAAAAACAAACCCAACACTGGGAAAGGATGTAAAGTGGGGAAGGATTTCTGGAATTACCGTATTTTCCTGCGTATAAGACTACTTTTTAACCCAGGGAAATCCTCTCAGAAGTGGGGGGTCGTCTTATACGCCGGTACGCCAGAAGCATTAGCACAGCTCTATATTTTAACTGGAAAACTCTATATTTTAACTGGAAAAGTTGGGGGTCGTCTTATACGCCCAGTCGTCTTATACGCCGGAAAATACGGTAT